AATTTTGTCTTAGATTACACGGCTATAATTAATCCACTCTTGCATCCTCGTTCGCACACTCTGGTCAGTGTGTGTGGAGCCTTGGGTCGCGGAAGAAAGCGGGCGTCTGCCTTGGAGCACGCGGCTCGCTATATAAACGTGTATTCGGTAAGCAACCCCCATCGCTAGGAGGGTTCCGCGCGGGATTTTGGACCCACCACGTAAAAACCGCTTCCATAACAAAGCCTAGGATGTGATCCCGCTTTTGATGCCGACCACGGGCATGCCCCTGCAATGTCCGGACCATTAATGGGGACGGTACTTCTGCCTGGCTGATTGATGTCCTCGTAAAGACAAAATCTGACATCACCGCGATCCAAGAAATGCGCTGGAAGGCGCAAGGTAAGAAGCCCATGGGGCCTTGCGACGTCAACTACAGCTGCCATGTAAACGAGCGCAAATTCGGAAGAGAAGGACGAAGAACCCAAGGATCTCTTTTATGAGCGCTTGGAGAACACATACGAGCGCTGCCCCGTCATAATATATAAATCGTGCTTGGTGACTTCAATTCCGGGATGGGCCAGGGAGAAACTGAGGCTAATCGTCTTCGCCGGGTCCCGAAACATAGCAGTGTGCAGTGCTTTCAGTGTTTTAAACTATATCCTGAGGTCCAAACATCGACTTGGACCACTATGTAGTTGCACTCGCATCCAACAATGCCAAAAAAGCTCAAAGTCGAAAAGCTGCAGTCACAACAGACAGCCAATGTATTCAACACTCGTCTCTCACAAATGCTCTCAGAGAGCACTTTTCAACAAAGCGAAACAGCGATCAGTAGAGCCACATTACCCACTCATTACATACCGCGGCCAAAGAAGTAGTAGGATTTCAGCGAGCCCGAAAAAACCAACTGGTAACAAGAGGAGTGTCAGGAAGCTGCAGAGAAAAAAGATGCCGCCTAAAGGAGCACGCTGCGATCGGGCGCAACGCGAGCTAAGTGGAACCGGTATACGGAGTTGAAGAGGGAAGCGAGACGTGGCGGCTGAAAAACAACAAAGCTGCTGGAGCCGACAGCATGGAATCTGAACTATTTAAGTACGGCGGCGAGGAACTGATAATGTGCATACATCAACTCTAATGCATAATATGGTCAGATGAACGCATGCCCGAGGACTGGAATTTAAATGTGCTCTGCAAAATCTACAAGAAAGGCATTACCGCCATACGCAACCACTTCTACACATAAGTTACAAGGTATCATAGGGAAAATTGTGTGAAAGAATGATGCCCACCGTCAACAAACTCATTGGACCTTATCGGTATGTCCGGTAAATCCACCATAGACTAGGTATTAACTTTACGTCAAATCTTGAAAAAGACCCACAAGAAAACGATCGACACTTCCGATCTAAGTACTTGGCGACTTCAAAGCCGCTTTCGACAGCACCAAAAGGAGTTGTCTATACGCCGCGATATCTGAATCCCCGAGAAACTGGCACGGCTGAGTAAAATGATGTTAGGAAATACCACCAACTCCTTCAGAATTGGGAAAGACTTATCCGAGCCGTTTGCTACTAAACGCGGTTTCAGACAGGGCGCCTACCTTTCATGATTTCTTTTATCTGATGTTGGAGAAGTTAATGAGAGCCGCATATAAGAGCTTGCAATTGCTGGCGTGTGCCGATGATATCGCCATCACCGGTAACAAGAACCGCGAAGTCTGTTCTGCCTTTTCCGAATAAGCAATGCGAATGAGAGAACAGGATGAAGTATTTCCTGTCATCAAACAAACAGTCAGCGCATACGTGTCTTAGCACCAACCTCGCTGTTGACAGTTATAATTTTGAGAAATTAGAGGATTTAGTATATGGCGTAGAAGCTTGGACAATTACAATATCCGATGAAGCAGCTCTTGGAGTATTCAAAAAGAGATTTTGCGGACGATTTAGGGGCCTTTACGCGTTGGCGACGGCGATTACCGCAGACGATGGATACCGCAGATGATGGTAAAAGCTTTACAACGACATTGACATAGTGCAGCGAATTAAAATACAGCGCCTCCGCTGGCTTGGCTATGTCGTTCGAATGGACCCCCACGCTCCAGCTCCGAAAGTATTCAACTCGGAACCCGCTGGTGGTAGGAGAGGAAGACGAAGCAATGTCGAAAAACACGCATCTACATTACTTACTTAAAAATGCTGTTATATTCACCTGCCTAACCCCAAAAAGCTATATAGTTTAATCAGCGTCTTGTTGCTCATTCTCTCATTTCGATTACCGTTTGCGATTTGAGATTTCAAAAAAATTCAGCGCTTTAATATTCGCACGCTCCTGTATTCTCAAGTTTATTTTACAAAGAGCAACAGCAGTTTGGGGGGAGCAATCATTCGAACTCAGTATGATAAACCTAGAATCGTAAAGTAAAACCTACAAATCTTTTTGCAGCCAGGTTAAAATTTTGTATGGCCAATTCGCAATTTGTAATTTTTTTCCAGAGTATTTTTAGAATAAGTGGGGGAAAAAGGATAACATTCATATCGGAGCAAAATATGTAGTTTGTGTACATACAATAAAATTTCACGAGAAATAATTCTGTGAAATAGTTTAAACCATTAGCTTTTTCACGAAAGATACGTTTTAACCCCTCTTTTGGAAATACTGAATAAAAGGCGTTTGTGAGGTCACAAGAGGCATGAAATGTTCTAGAAAATTATCTGCCAGAAAATTTCGCTCAAGCTGCTTACAGAAATTTTTTTTTACAAAGAACGTAACGATCCATAGAAAAAAACAAGTATGTCCGCTTGAAATATGCCACAATCTTTTTATGCTCTGTTTTAATAGTATTTACTTTGCGAAAGTGCATATTTTTGTGTATTTTTGACTAAATATACTCTTCTCTACAATTATTTTTTCTAAGTACCTTACCGTCAAAGAAGTAATAACAGGATTGTTGTGGAAACATCGTTCTAGCAACTACGATGCTTTTGTTTCAAAAATGTTAAAATCATTTGATAAAATTGGCGTCGATATGTCCTCGATAAAGAACTATGTGCATACTCATCTGGCTTATTTCAGCAAGCGAATATCCACCGCACCCGATGAACAGAGCGCTATCATCAAGGCAATAGTTAAGTAATTGTATTTTATTCTAAGTTAAAAATATTTACAGATACAAAGGAAAGCATCATCGCAGTGTGTTCGAAGCTCCCGATCATGAAGAATTTGAAGAGGGAGCAAAAGGGCGAGCAGTATAGATAAAGGTAGGTTAAAGGCCAAGCCCCGAACCACCATCTTCGAAAATAACTAGCAGGGCCACTCCATTGTGACTGGTGGGACATTTTACTCACGAATGTGATCAGTTGTGAATTATAACTAACAGCGAAAAATATTTTTTAAGATAGAACGTGATAACTAATGTGGAAAATTGCTTTCACAAAAATACCAAACGATTTCTTAGTTTTTTGTAACAATCATTTGAATGAATGTGAGCGGTGGGACTCTGAAAAGGGCTCTATATTACCCTTGTGCACTCAAAGATGATTTTTGCCAAAGCACTTAGTCTTCATGAACAATGTTTTTGTGTTGTAAAATATGAATTATTCGCTTTCTTTTTCAATAAAAATTAGGTTTATATAATCTTCATAGAAATAAAAAAATATATATTTAAAGTTGTGACTGGTGTTACATCCCTTGTGATTGGTGTAAAGTAATTATGCATGAAATAAAAGTTTCCATAGACGAAAAAAATTACAACTTCTTTTTATTTTTTTTTTATTTTCCAAAAGTCATTAAAGAAGAGGACCCAGCTAAAAATTTGTTGCATATTTCAAGGTGACCTATTTGTTTTTCTTTATTTTCTGTGGAATTTTATGTTCCTTGTATAGAAATTTATTCTGAGAATATTCCTTGCGAAATTTTCCGGCAAGTAATTTTCTAGAATATTTTAACCCTCTAGGGACCTCCCAAATTCCTTTTTTTCAGACTTACTAAAAAGGGTTCAAAATAACCATTGCCAGAGAAAGATAAAAGGTTAAAATGTTCTACAGAATTATTCATCGTAAAATTGTGCTATACGTACCCAATCTACATATTTCTCTCAGCTATGAATTTAAAACCTATGTTCGGGAAAAAATTGCAAACCTAGCTTAACCACAAAAAAATTTTGACCTGAGAATGCAAAAATATTGGGACGCTTTCTTGACCTAATCGCCAGATTCATCAATCAATTTTAAAATTTATCACACTGTTAAAACTTAAAAGGGCAATTTTTGCAAACAAAATTCAATTAACTTGGAATCATTCCGCCCCCATAATAAACTCGAAATTATGCATATATAATGTAAGTATTAAATTTGGATCGAAACCAAAAAAAAATTATTGTACTTTTTTATTTTTAAGCCTTAAATTCACAACTGCAAATCGATATAAAAAGGAAATGGGGAACAACTTTTACAAATGCTTTGGTATTTATTCATATTTTGACCTCTTTCAATGAATGCAATTGGTCTCATTCCCATCACTTTTTGAGTGTTGCACTGTGTAATCGGTAAATTTTAATCAAATGATTAATCGCGCCATCGCTACCCGGGACACGAGTATCTAAATTTGGTTTAGGTAAGGTAATACCACCAGATTCATCACAGTTGGGAAGGTACGCTCCGAGTTGTTTGATGCTGTTATACCTGAGATCATTTACTTGAATAACTACTGTAATTCCTCAACCTATCGCTCTCTCTCTCTCTCTCTTGTAGCATATCCTAATTTGCTTAATGTGTTTAATAAATTTAATATACATATGCAAAGCCTGCGAAGTATGCAATGTGATGAATAGTGGAAGCGGACCAGTAGTTAGTTTAAACTTCTTAAATAATAACATGATCGCCAATGCTCCAATAACCGCCCGATGGGACCCAGGTTCGATTCCTGGTCCGACCAACATTCAAAAACTTAAGTCTCTGAACGGAATTTGTTTGTATTTTACAAACATATCTAAATTAATATACATACGTGGATACACTTACCTTTGGATGCGCTCTGCGGGGAAATGCTACCTTTGGGTCGATCTGTAAATATAGAGAAAAATAGCATGCAACAATTAAGAAAGCACGTTATGCGAAAATAATTTTAATCAATTTTCGTACAAAACTTCTAGCATGTAGTATACATATAGGCAGGGCCGTAGCCAGGATTTTTTTCAGGGGGGGGTTCTGGCAAAATATTTTTTTATTTTCACTTTTAATTCAACATATTTTGATTCAAAGAAAAATACTGATAAAAATAAAATATTTCACACAAACAACAAAAAATATAATCGATAATCGCATGAGGCTATTGTCTGAAAATTTTATCACTTAGTGGCATTGTGCTACTATGATAGCACGGCCCAGTAATCATAGTCAACTTATGTCCAGTAGACTGCATCACTCCCCATCCAAAAAAAAAAAATTGGTACTCTTTTCCACTGGAATTATAAAATCTATTACATTTTATGACTTCCACCAAAATACCTCGCAAAAATATTAAGATTTACGTGAGCTGAACCGATTTGAAAATACCTCCAAAAATTGAGTTTTTTATTAATAAAAAGTTTTTTTAGATATTTTTTTTTTAATATACCTCAGATTACTAAACAGTTTAAGCTTAAAAAGTTTGCATAAAAAAATGTAGAAATATTTTTCTACGGAATCAGAATAATGAGATTTTTGATGCTATTTTTGACCTTTTTTCAAAGACTGGTTTAAGAAAAACTTGAATAACTCAGCCAAAACCTTACCAATTTAGACTTATGAGGTATCGTTGGTAAGGTATTTTCTCTCTCTTTGTAGGTGTTCTGGACCCTTAATACGGCCTTGCATATAGGTATGTATATTCATATATGTGCAGTACAAATATGATAAAAATACTAGAACAGCTGAATCAAATGGGGAAGTCTATGACTAAACATAAAATGTAAATACCTGCCTACGTGTGTACTATTCAAACGCAGATATGTTTATGGAATTGTGCTTCTATATTTAGGCAGTCGCAAAAAAGTTGGGGTTACAAGAAAGTTCTGAACAGAGCGGTGGTACAAAAAAAAAACTGCTTTCGAAGCAACATTTTAAATGGCAATACTTAAGCCGCATTAAACGCGAGAATGGCAACAAAGAGCACCACAAATGGCGGTGGCTGCAATTCCATTTTTTAGCGGTATTGCAGTAAGCTATGTATCTAAACGCAAACATGTTCTGTATAAAAGTTTTATTAAAAAAATGCCAAAAAGAGAATAAAAAAATTATAAAATAAATCTGGTGAGAGGAGAAGTCATAAGATAGGGTCAGATGATACCAACAATTCTTTTGGCTTTTTCTTTTAAGTATTATTTATTCTATATCACGCGTAGCTCTGTGTTCAAGGTAGTAATGCATTGGCAACATTTTAAAACACATTTTTCCTAGCAATCCACCCCAATCAGTGGCGGATTTACCGTAAAGGCAACATAGGCAAGCGCCTAGGGCGGCAAAATTTAGGGGCGGCAAATGTTTAGTTGAAATAAAAAAAATTTTCTTTGCGAGTTAGCTGCACTGAAAGTAGAATTCGTGTTTGTACATTTTAATACATAATTTTGAGATTCAATTATACAATCAGAAAATAGGACAACACTGTTAGGCATTTTTGATATTATTTAAATGATAATATTTAAAAATACTAATTTAGTATTTTTGAGGTTATAACTTATCTAGTGAAAAAACTTTGTTGCTGATGGCTTTCTTTAAAAGTTGAAAACCTCTACTCAAGGCAAATACCACTTTTTCATCTTGAACATTTTAATAAAAGTATAGTAAATAACGTAAATTTGAATATTACTGTTTATTACTAATCGTTCCGAAACTTGTACTTCTTAATCAATATATCAAGCATCTTTTCACACTCAACTACAGCCAGAAATAAAACGTGCTTTCAAATTTTGAATTTCCATCAACACCACAGCACGCGATTCGTACGGATAAATACCCTACAGTACTGCTGGAGTCAATCGCTACTTTTGAACCGCTACTGCACCGACTCCTAGGTAAGTAGCTACTCTATTAACACGTGGTAGTGCACATGGTAGTGCAGAGTCGAACCAATCGTAAGCAGGATAGCAAAAAATTAGGACAGAGGGCGCCCATAAATAACGCAAGTGACTACTATAGTAACTCCCGGTAGTGCAGAGAGAGCTGATGGTGACTACCGCCTAGGATATTGCCTTGTAAAAGTAATCGATTAAATACACTGCAAGTAGTCGGTCGGTAATTGACGGAGTTTATCACGTAGCTACCGATTCAGCAGTCCTGTAGTTGCTCCCCAAGCAAGATTTTTTTTTAGTTGGTACAACAAAAAATACGAAACACGATTTCTGTCAGATAGATAATATGGCGAAGAAGAAGAAGAAAGGAAACTATCTTCTAAAAATTATTGTATTATGCATGCAACGACAATCACATTAGCAACATTTTTCAAATATACAAGAATATCGGGCATAGTAGTCGCGACACTTATTTCTCTTCACTGGAGCTTCTGCTGCGGTGTCACCCAAAAACAAACGTGTATTCGCTCATACCTTGTCCGCCCTTTAATAGATCGATAAACTTCCACAATGACACATGTGCCCCATCAGCTTTAGTGTTAAAAGCACTATGCCCTCCAAAGCAATCGTGGTCCTAGCCAAGTTACTCACAACTGCGTCATATTGATTCCACAATTTAATTGGATACTCTGCATTCTTACACTGACTATTTCTCACCAACATTGCATTTTGAAAAGTGAGCTCATAATCGCAAACAATTCACGTATGTCGATTGGCGTTTGTCGGGCAACAAATCGTACACTAATGGAATATTTCTTCCACCAACATCGCCGTTTAATGTAAAATGCGCATAAATGCCTCACGGACTATTTTAGGTGCAGTAATTGTGACAATAGTCATATGATGAACTTTGTCAATGATGTGGGAATATTTAGGGTTGTAAGTCGGATGTCATACTTTTGATAAATAATTGAAAAGGTACATAAAGAAACAATTAATGCAGAAAAACAGGTTCTTATTCGAGAACTCTATAACTAAGAGCATTAACAAAATATTTTCGAATGCAGTTATTAAATAAAACAAGTGCCAAATAAAATAAGCTCTGTTTACTGAAGTTCCCAGTCATGGGACGCGCTCAAAGTACACTCGTGGCCACGCAAACCTTACCATCACTTTTTTTTTGTTCAGTTCAACCCGCACCAAAAACTAAATAAATAAAAGTTTCAAAGTTTGTCCAAATTTTACAAAAAATTGATCACTTTTATAAAAATTTCAATCTTTTTAATAAAAATTTTTAGGAAAATTTCGGGTATGCAGTTAAATAGCCCATTTAATTTCAGTATAATAATGTACAAATACGAAGTGGCTCAAAATTCTCGGTGATTTTTGAAAACTTTTTGGCCGACGCACAGTGGTCTGAAATTCAAATCTAGGTGGGCAAAACTATTGGCTCAAAGACGCTTTGACGCAATTTAACACGACTTTATTCCTATATGTTTTTGATGTCGCTAAGTACGAATCTGAAGTCAGATTTTAAAAATTTAAAATGGCGAACGCCAAAGTTAAAAAATCAGAAAACTTTATCAAAACAGGATATTTTCGGGTTCGATTCTAAATTTCGAATTTTGAAATGAAATTTGATTTGGACAGACTTAAAAGAAAGTGAGTTTAGAGATGGTAATATCAGATAATTAGTTTTATACAAGTAGTTAAAGTAGAAAACATGTTATTGTGGATTAAATTTTATTTTTATAATCTTTTACATACTAAAAAGCAGAAAACAAAACTTGGTTTGAATAGTCGAATTGTTAAGAAATTGTGTCAATAATTAAGATCGGGCAGAGAATTGAATGTGTTAGTAAAGTTCATCGTTATCTTCTGTGGAAGCTTCGAATATAAGTAAAGGTAGTACTTCTTTCAATAGTTATATATATATATATAATAATATAATAATATAACAATATCATATAATAAACCACTTATGGACTTAAATTTTACTATTTACTCATTACATTTGCTTACGAATAAACAATTTTAAACCTTACAACATTACATATATATCTAAATAATTTTCATATCTAAGATAAATAAGAATATTTTCAGGAATAATATTAAAAGCCTCAAAATGCGCTGTGATAAAACTCTTACATGGCCCGCTTTAAAAATGAATATATCGAAAAGTAGCAAGAAGCGCAAAAAAGTATTAATGGTTATGGAAAGCTTAAGTCGTATTAATAAATAATTTTTCAAACTAATTCGCACAATTCAACTTTAGCTATTTTGGATTTTGTATTATACATTGAAAATAGAATAAAATAGTATAGCATTGAAAATAGAATAAAATAGTTTACACTATCTTATAGTGTGAAAATCTAGTTACCAAGCTGATATAGGAATGGCCAAAATAGACTACTAGCTGAGTTTAAGTAAAGCTTTGATTTTCAGGGCAACATCAACTAGGTGTGAGCGTGTTTTTAGTGGTTAAAATTTATCTTAAAAGTTATCTGTCTTCGCACTTAAATTTAACGGTGTGTTTCTACGAACTTCATCGACAGAGGCCAACATGCAAAGCAACAACACAAACTCGGCTATTTATCCGAGTTCAGCCGGGTCGGTTAAAAATACGCGACCTTAAGAGCAGTGTTGTTAAGTGAAAAAACTGCTCTATTGTGAATTGTTAATAGGAAAGTGGAGAGGGAAATTTTTGTTTTCGTATATACATGATTTATATTTTAAATAAGTATATATGTATATTACGCAAATACCTCGCATAATTACTAATTTCTATTGTTTTTTGTGTCTAAATCCCGCTGAACTAATCACATGTTTCTTGCCAGCTACCAGCAGGGTTGCTTATGTAGCTAAAAGGAAATTTTGCGCGTTCTTTTGTCGCTCGCTTACAAAAAAATGCAGCTAACGAACTCGACCCATAGTCACTTTAAAATTTATAAGGTGTGAGTCTTCTAAAAATACGAATTAGCAAAAAATGAATCAAATCTACTTAGTGTAGTTCAC